AGACCGCGATACGATTGCGTATTTTGCGTGGTTTCAGGACTGTTCTCTTCACATCTGTGGGAGAAAACTTAGGTCAAAATTTTAATTTTGCTTCAGGAAAAAAAAACCCTGTAGGCAAGTGGGGTTAAAAAAAAATCATGCCCCCGAAATTTCCCCCCCCCCCCCCCCCTCCCTCCGATTATTTGTAATGGTCCGTCCCACAGCAGAGAGCCCACTATTCTAATTGGTATGACTTAAAAACGTAAGATATATGATGTTCTACGTCACGAGAACTGTTCAGGAAGGTCCTTTTAGTGTCACTCGCAGATGAATTCAACTTGCCAATGAACAGCTTCTCATGACTCTCTGGTCGAATAATTTTCCATTTTCCATCAGCGGTCAAAGATTAATTTAAAGCCAACATCTAAATTAAACCGGCCGCAGGGGGCGAGGAGCACAATAAATATCAAATTTAGTATCAAGTGTTTTGCGTCATCGATCATCGAACAACTTGAGTGCCTGGAAACAACATTTGCTTTATGGCTTAATTGTCTGGAGGAGTAACTAGCTTGCTGTTGAAACAGTGTTTACCTGTATTGTGTCTCAATATATATTAAAGGCTAGAAGGTATTTTAGGACAGCTGGTATCGCAGTGCGCGGTACGCGTTGAAAAGTGACTAGGATCGGTTCCCGGATCGGTTGCCTAAAGTGTTCGGTATCCGGAACGGATGGGCCTTTGAGCGCCAAGTTTCGGTCATCTTTATTAGCTTTGCTGTGACCTTCTTCTGGCTAAGAGTTTTACTGACTTTAATGTGAAAGTAAGTACAATACAATACAATACAATAACTTTATTTAAAGAGGGAAACGCAATAACGTATTACAGTTTTTTAACATACAGCCCTCGAAAAATAAATAAATAGATAAATAAATTTAGAAAACTAAAAAAACAAGTAAATTTACAAATATATATATATATATACACAAAAAAGACAATATTTAAAGTAGAATAGGCTATAGACACGTAATGAATAATATATAAATCGACGAAGGGGGGCAAAATATGTACTATAAATGAACATGTATACATATATACATAAATATAAATTAAAAGACGTAATAGTGGTTGTAGTAGGACTATGAAAAACAGTGACAATGAATAGAATAGCGGCAAGTCGAGCACAGTAGATCCTCCAAGTGCTCAGCCGATGATAGGCGTGAGAAAAACAGAATTCGTAATTTAGACTTAAGAGAGGAGGGAAGAAATTTAAATATCAGTGGAGAAGAAGAAATAGAAAACTCTTTTAAGTCGGAACTGAGGTTATTAAAAAGTTTAGTAGCAGTATAGGCCAAGGTGCGTTTCCCAGAGTTGTTATGTGGGCATGGCACCTTTAAGTCGTAGAGAGAGGCTCTTGCAAAACGGCCCAGAGGTCCACGCGAATCACAAAGAAATTGAAATCTGTTCCTGAGACATTTAGGAGCATTCGGATTAAGGAGTACGATGAAAAGAAGGAAAAGTTTCCTGTATTTAATAAGATCAAAAACGGGAATCCAGTTAAGTTTTAAAAATAAAGAAATAGAAGCCTGAGAGAGGTCGGCATCAAGGAGTATACGCCCAGCACGCTTCTGAAGACGAAGCAGTCGTAAGAGGAGATGGTGGGAACAGTTACCCCAGGCAGCAGAACAATAAATAAAGTAGTTGTTAACACAAGAATTATAGAATCTTAAAGCAGAATCAAAGTTAAGATAAGGTTTGATGCGACGGAGAAGAGAAAGCCTACTGCTAATGATGCAGCAGATTGTACTGTATCGATATGATGCTCCCAAGACATGTCACTGTCTATCATAACGCCCAGCATCTTGGCATAGTCCACTTGCTCAATAGATCTACCATCGATTTGGACATTGAGTGCCGAGCTGGTTAAAGTACGGCGTTTCTGCAGGGTCGTAATAAGTAAAGATTTAGTTTTGGTTGTGTTAAGTGACATTCGATTATTATCAGCCCACGTAGATACAGTTCTAGCAACTTCATTCAACTGAGTGCTGAGGGAAGTAACAGAGGGCCCTCGAACAAGAATAGTAGTATCATCCGCAAACATAGTTGAAGTTACGTCTGAATGTAGCTCTAACGGC